CCAAAAACCAGGTTGACTCTTCCCCAACAAATCATATTCATCTGTGTGTCTGGCAATTCTGTTCTTTACTATAGTTTCAACCAGTTTGCTCCATCTCAGGCAATCACCTTGTGGGTGCAGCTTGGGTAGCTTTAAGCTAGCACAGGTATCAGAGAAGTGAAGCCACAGCAAGATGCCCTTCAGCAAGTCCTAGTCCCACGAGTAATTACTCAGGGTTCCCGGTAGGCTTGTACAGCCTGGGCCGAAGCATGTGCTGCCCTGGCTCCACTGCTCTGGGACCCAGGTATGTGTTCTGCAGTCTACGCATGCCCTTATTCAGGCTCAATGCTTTGTGGGTGCTGGTGGGAGCATAACTAGCAGTGGGACTTCCTACACTTTAAAAAAACTGAAGGTGCTAATCTGGTGCTAGTACACAAGGATCTCTCTCTCTATCCACACCCTAGCCAGACATTTCATCTCTGGGCCTGTGAGCACTGAAGTCAGGGTTAGCTAGCACAACCCCCCAACCCCATCAATTATAGGTGTCTCCTAGACTGGTGTGCTGGAGATGAGGGGGCTCCCTTTGCCCTGTACTGCATCTGCACCCAGGTGGGGCAGCCATAATTGGGTTCCTAACAAGCAGAAAATTCCCCAACCTGCTGTCCTTTCCCGGGGGGGGGGGAGAAAAGTGTTTTTCCCAAACACATTACTCACCACTTGTGGCCAAGTTCCTCAGACAAACACATGCTTGGCTTGAAACCTGGTTGTGCCAATAAAAAAAAGAGTGAGCACTCCAGTAACTGATCCTGTTGTCTAAAATAAACCAATAAACACTGTCTACAGAGTGTATATTCTGGGATTTCATTTCCAAAAACGGTTGCTGAAGGCCAGTACATACAGGTATGAATCAACACCAGCTTAATTTTCCATCACCCAGACCTGTTACTCAGTACCCATTACTGTTGAGCAGGTTAGCAATATCCAGGGGATTGCCACATGCTGCCCAGAATCTAACAGTACATTCTCAGTGTTGATTTACTTCAGGAATGTCAAATGAACTGAATAGACAGGGGTGCTGGAACAATTTGTATAGTGTGGGTGCTGAGAACCATTGAAGCAAAGTGCAAACCCTTTATATGATGGAAATAATTTAAAGTCAGGGGGTGCAGCTATGAATGCACTGAATTTATTTGGTTTCCTTTTTCTCTGTATTCCCCTGAAAGAAATCAATATTCTTCTGGTCTAAGAAAGTAAGACATGTTTCCAAGTAATCATTAGCGAACATGAACATTGTGGTAGCTGGACTGGGATAGATGTCAAAGGTGAGATGGGATAAAAGGCAAGGCTGACTTAGAGCTATTGTCTTATGTCCCTTATAGGCCTTCTGCTAACTTTCAGTGCCCTACAGATGTATTTTATAAATCCTGAGAATTGCCAGTCCAGAACCTTGAAACACTCTGGGGACCCAAAGTGGCAGAGGCTTGGACTCCTCTCACAGAAGTCCTAGTGCGTGTCCAGGAAGGAGTGTTAGCTATGGTCTGTGACAACCTGTAACTCTTATAATGAGCAAAATCAAATCTCTGAAGGTGAACACTCCTGAAGTTTGGGAACACCTGGTTCCAGATCTGAACTCCAGCTCTGCAGGCCCGACTCTGTTTCCATCTTTAAAGCACAGTGCAATCAATAATTATAACTTTGCCAGAAATGTGCTAAAATTCTCACATCTAGCAAAGTGTCTCAGTTGCATGCTATGGGATTTACAGTGGTAAAGTGCAGTTTCAAAGCCTCCCCTGCACTTGCCTGGGGCTCCCTAATTACAGTGTAAAGCAATCTAGTTGCATCATAGCTTCTTCACGCTGAGTGTAACGTACAGAATTAAAGAAACCTCCGGAGAATGATCAGCAAATCTGCTGTACAATAACACACCTCCCTCCCCTATCTTTTTCACTTTACCTTGTCCACAGATGAAGACAGGAGAGAAATGAGTGTCCGCAGAAGGAATTGATCCCCAACTCGCAACATGGCTTCGTGGTACTGAGAGTTGGCTGCCACATTGCTTAAAGCTGCACAACTATAATACTGTCGAGAACAGAGAAGGGGGTGGAGAGAAGATGTCACTGTGACAGTGTTTATTCAATACAGTGAAAATCAACAGGAGAACGGCTTACATTTTTTTGGACAAAAGTGTGTACTTTTCAACTTCAAGGTGCTTTACAAAAATTGATTAAACCCCAAAACACCTTTCTGAGGTAGGTAGGTATTAATACTCACATCTGGCTGACTGGGGGAATGGAGAGAAACTGAGACAGAGATTGTGACATGCCCAAAGCCACAGGGGAAGATGGTGGTAAAACTGGAATAAGAATGCAAAAGCTCCTGGCTTCTAATTCCATGTGCAGGACACACATCTCTTTGTTATTAAGAAACAAAGTGTACAGAAAGTCAGAAAGTGAGCTTACTGTCCTTTGGGGCAAATATTGTGGAGAGCATTCATGAGACAAAAATTCCTCTGTCCATCCTATTACAGCTCACTCCGAGCAGGGCACTTTTTTTCTGCCACACCCCTGGACTCATGTCTGAGCCTAGTTAATAGCCCTAAGCAAGAACATAAGGGTCCAAAATATAATTTAGATGTAATCAGGGAAGAAATATTTTGTCAGAACCCACAAATATGGTCTCATAATGGCCCCTCTTCTACTGGCAAATACCAGCATTCGGGGTGTCATTTCTGCAAAAAGGGTAGTTCAGGCATGACAAGGGGGACTTCCTAGTGCTCTTGCTGTGAAAAGATGCACACAGGCAACGGGGTGACTGAAAGAGAACAGTATGTACACATTGACAGCCTGGCATAGCCATAGAGCTATGAAATATATTTACATCATGCTCCTCAACCAGTATTATATGACCAGAGCTGCTCAAATCATAGGCAGAATTCAAAGGAGACTGAAGAATGCACGGAAGCAAGGGTTACTTGTCCATTGGACACACAAAATTCTCTCAGTTCTGGGTTATATCAGTGTGTGTCTGGGAGGGCACTTCCCAGTCCAGATTGACACACACACACACACAAGTTCTGCTTGAGCTAATGTG